GAATGCCTAACTCTGTTCACAAATCCAGGGGCCATCTTGCTCCTGTCTAGGAGGGCCAAAATATCCTGTTTATAGCTGCAGATTTTTTCCCTTACAGAGGATAAGGACAGAGATGAATTTCTGATAAACCATTCTAATTTTCCCTTTCTTAATTTCCGAAGGCATTTTACACATCGTTCAATTTAATGTTTGCTATGTTTTAATCTATTTGTATAATTAACTAGTTGTGTTATGATTAATTTAATTAACAAGTGTTAATAAAACATAATCACATGCACAGTGGGAACAATCCAATCAAAGTTAAACACTTTTATGTCCAATTGATTTCAACAGGAGAGATTTATCTCTCCTGTTGAAATCAGGTCTTAAATGTGATTATGTTTGGCTGGATGAAGCCAAAATGTTTTTTTTCTTTCTCAAAGACTACTTTTATTAATCTGAAAGAAAACAAAGACCAGCGAAAATCCAAGAGGACAGATCATTGCTTATCAGTGGACTCCTAAACAGAATAACACACTTCTAAGTCAGTTCAAGTCAACGGGTTTAGAAGAGTGTAACGCTGCTCAGGATGGCAGTGCAGGAAACTTTCATGGTCCACATTCACCAGGTGTTTCAGACTCCTTCCAGAAATGAGCTGAGGTGGGCCAGGCTACTCAACCCCACCCTACTTCATTGAGTCTGCAATGTGGCTTCTGTGTACCTTTTCCACTCTCCTTCCAAGGGCTGGGTTCTACCTATCTATCTAGTACTGCTCATATGGCTATCACCTTAACCAGAAATTAGAACCAAAGAAAATATTTTAAAATACCTTAGTATTATTTCTCTTATATTTGATTATTGCACCTATGAATTTTGCCACTGAGAGGGTGACACGATCCTTGGTATCTGATAGTAGCCATAACACCTGGGCTCGCACATTTAGCAGTTCCATATCTTTAAGTAAAGGGGTGACTAAATTAGCCCTCAACTCATCGCAAGGGCTGGGTTTGTTGAAGAACCTCTCTTCCTGTCAGCAGCAATGCTCCCTCTAAGCTGTGAAGTCTTGTGAGCAAAAATTCAACTCTGTGGGCTCCTGGCATTAAAGTTGTGAGCGAGTGATTTGGCTACTGGATAAATCAGTTTGCTCTGGGGCCATCCTTCCTGAGCTAAGACAAAAACCTGTGAGCTGCAGGCAAAAAACCTGTGAGCTAGCTCACACTCACTCAGTTTAGAGAGAACAGTGGTCAGCAGATGTTCTGATCATATAACAATTTTATAAGGCTTTTTGCAACTTTTGAATATGAATAAGATAATGATGCCAGCACTTCATTTGCTGGCACATGAACAGTAACTAATAGTGGGGCTACATTTTTAAGAAGAAGATATAAGAATGTAATAGATGTATTAGCACTTTCTTGGCATCCACAGTAACTGGTAGAACAAAGTTTGAGTCCAGTGGAACCTTTAAGACCAACAAAGTTTTATTCAAGGTATGAGCTTTCATGTGATAAGAAAACAATATAGCTGTTAAGTCCTGGGTGGCTTTGTTCCGAGTGTTGTAATAACTTGTAATTCAGCAATTTCCCTTTCCAGTCTGTTCCCGAAGTTCCTTTACAATAAAACAGCTACTTATCTCACTACATATGCTAAACTCATTCAGTCCTAACATTTGTATTCTCACCAAGAAAAGCTATACATCCTCTTTATTTTAGCGTATTTCTTATTTGGAATAGTAGATTAGAATAGCAATTGTAATGTAATGCAATGAATATATTTCTCTTCTCTGGTTTTTTTTTTTTGTCAGGAGACATAACACTGCACAACCATTCACCCCACCTCAAAGAAAAGTATGCTGTTAGTGACCTCCATGCTTGAGACGAACAGAGTGTAACAACAGGATCTCAGTTATTTACTCTTAGCATCCCACAATTAAGAACAATCTATTTACACATTCATCGCCTATTTTGAAAAATTTGCTCCACTGTGTTTCCCCCCTCCGTAATTAAATCCAAACAGATGCTGACCATATACATTTATCTTGTTATTCCTGTTTGGTCTCTGCATCTGTTAGAACATTTTCATTATGTTGTATGCTAATTTGCTGTTCACCATCTGCCTACATGTATGGACTGTTAACTTCCATTTCAGTGTATCTAAGGAAGTGTGCATGTACATGAATAAAACTTTGTTGGTCTTAAAGGTGCCACTGTACTCAAACTTTGTTCTACTGCTTCAGACCAACAGAGCTGCCCACCTACATCTATCAAATGATAACCATGATCAGTTCCCCTGAAGAAAATAGCTCCTTTGGAGGGTGGACTCTATGGCATTATATCCTACTGTGGTCTCTCCCCTCCTTAAACTCCACCCTCCCCAGACTCCAACCCCGAAATCTCCTGGTATTTTGCAATCCAGAGCTGGCAACCCCACCTTAGAAGACACACTGTTTTCTGTGTGGAAGAAGGAATGCCTTTTTCAAGTCGGCATTGGCCACAGTTTGTGTAAGCACCTGTATCATAAATGATAGTCATAAATGATAAATAATAATAAACGCATACTGAAAGGGGGAAGGGGACACATTTTAATGAATTAAGGACGCAGATTAGTCAACTAAACATTGTAACACTACTGCCACATGGTACAAGAGAAGCTCCCCTTTTCCATCTTTACCACTTGGCGCCGGCAAAACGCCAGCCACGTCGTGCCCTTCGTTTCACTCTCCGGCAATCATTCTTCTCTGTTTCCCCGCAGACCCGTCCACCCCGCGTTCCAAGGCGCAGCAAAGCGATGGAAGACGAAAGACTTGCTAAAAGGTAGACATTGCCCACGCCTCATTCCCGACGAGCTCAGCCGTACAGTTTCTTACGGTCTACGATTAAAACAAAACAAAACACTGCTCTTTCTTTTCCATACGACTACTTTGAAATAACAGTATCATCTTCCCCACCTCCCATAGAAAGGCCAATCTGTTAGTGAGGGCAGGATAAAGTCACCACGGCTTCGCGTAATGCCTCTGAGCATGCGCCCGTGAGCCAGGCATGCTCAGTGCCCGCTACCGTGGAATGGTTGTCTGACAAGTGAGTTAGTTTGAGCCACCGTCAGGGGCATCATGTGAGTAAGAAGCGGCGGGGTTGTTGGGGCTCGGCCAGTTCCGGCCCCCGGGAAAGCAGGTGGGGGTGGAGAGGCCGCTTCGAGGCTGTGGCCTGGTTCGCTTGCGGGCGGGCGGGCGGAGGACGAGGAAGCCGCGGCAGGTGGAGGTGACAGACGGACTGGCTGGAGCTTCCTGAGGGGAGGGGTCACACTGCAGGGCGAGGGGTTGCGGCCCTTTCGCAGGACCTTGAGAGCAAGGACTCAGGGGCGCCGTTTCGGGAAGGTCCCAAGGCGCCCTGCGGCGGCTGGGTGGCTTCTTCGTGTCGTTTTATAATAGCCAGCGGCATAAGGGGTTTTTTGGTGATGAAGGAACGCAGGCGGAATGCGGGGTGGGGAAGCCGCTGCTGTCGCCGCACCACCTTCCCAGAAATGGCGCCCCCGGGGACCTAGTTGCTGGCCCACTCCTCAGTCTCTCACCTGGGCCTGAGGAGGCTGAAGCCTTGTCTCTCTGCCTGGCTGATGCTCCTTTCAGGCAATGACGCCAAAGCACTCACAGCCTGAGTGGGATGCGGCTAGAGTACAGGCTGTGTTGCATCTGAGCACTTTCCCGGTCTGCTCTGCCTCCTCGACAGGCCCTCTGCATTTATGCTAATTTGTTTCCTTGGCGGCCACTTCTCGAGCAAAAACCTCCACTGTATGTGCAGAAGAATCTTGGGTGACACGTGACGGTGACATACCATAGCAGAGCTGGTGACGTTATACAGAACTGTCAGCTTCTGAGAAACGCAGCCTGGTAACCCTGGAAGGGTTTAGGAACAAGGAAGTCTACATAGTTGCAGTTGCTTGTAGGTGCCTTGTGTTGCAGAATTTGGGGTTATATGTTTTTTGCTATGTTTCTCTCTCTCTGGAGGCCTGCGTTCCCTAGCCAGACACCACTCATCCATAGAAAAGGAACCTAGGGTTGGGGATCCCTGGAAGAGGCCTGGACCCCTAAAATGCCCCTACAGCTTGTCATCAACTGATATGCATATACATTATATCAAGCTGATAAAAGATCAGCTGACCACTGCGCAGTTTCCCACTGTCCCAAATGCAAAGAAAGATCTAGAAATAGGTGGGTGCAAATGCAGCACAATCCATGGAAGAGGACTGAAAATCCATGGAAAAGGTATCAGTGAAGGTAGTGAGCTACTTGTCTTCTACAAATATACATTCACCCTTGATTTTGCTCTTACAAAAATCCCCTCTGTTATGTATGTTCCGTGTTAAATCTCAAGAGGGCCCCAGTTGATTCTCTGTGTTACTCCAGAACAAAACAAGTAGACAAGATGCCTATCTATAAACAGTTGCTCCAGTGTCATGTCATATTAAGAATTTATCAGCTGGGCCCTCAGATGTAACAGCCTCAGACTTTTGTTAAGTGTACAAATGTTAAAAATTCTTAGCAAAGGAGATGCCAAATGCAAATAGTTAAAGTGGTGGTGAGGATCTATGGGGAACTTGTGATAAGGGTACTGTAAGCTTACTGACCTCAAGTGGCAGAGATAAACAGGATGGGCAGACAGGTGGGCAGACAGCATCAGAAAGTTTAAAATGTGGTATCCTAGGGAGAGTACAATGGAGCCTTTTAATAATATAGCAGAAGCCTGCCTTGAATAGCCTTTTGCACTTTAATACCCTGAATGAATAGAAAGTGCTCATGTTGCCAGATTACACAAAGAGCGAGACATACCTCATTCTTCATAAATTCACACATCCAAAGAAGCTGTGCATCACAGCTGTTGCTTAAAGTGTGAGAAAGGAGAATATAAGGCTATAGCCTGCCAGCTTTAAAACATGAAATGATGGTAGGGTGGGAAAAGGTTGATACATCTAGCCATGTTGGTCTGTCATCCAGATAAAGTAATAGTAAAAAGCTTGGAGGGGACCATAAATTACATGCAGTAGACACAGACACAAGAGAATTGAGCAACACCACTGTATGTGTAACAGATGGAAATAAAGAACCTATATGGGTAATGCTTGTAGAGGGGGAAGTACTCAGGACAGAACTAAACACAGGCTCAGCTGTGTCTGCAAAAAATCCACAAACACAAAAATCAGTGTGCACCTTAATAAAAGTAGTATACTGTGGAAATACACAGGAGAAAAGAATTTTGCATTGGAAGTGTGCACAATGGTAATACAGTGGTGAGAGCCCTTAGACCAGGGGTGCCAAACATGTGGCCTGTGGGCCAGATCAGGCCCTTGGAGGGCCCCAATCCAGCCCGCAAGGCTCTGGCTGTTTTTGGCTTCATTTTCCAGTTCTGCTGCCATGTCACAGCTTGCTTTACCAGTCTCTCAATCGCACAGAAGAGATAGATAGGCAAACCTCTCCTGTGCGATTGAGAGAGTCTGGTAAAGAACTGACTGAGACGCCGTCCCCTCCTCCTCCCAGGGGGAGAGAGGGAACAGCCAGAGCTTGCTTCCCGGCTAGGCTGCAGGAGACAAAGGGAAGTATTTCCTTCCATTGGCTGAGGCTCCTCCCTGAAGGGAGGGAGGGAGCGAGGGAGAGTTTGCTTTGCTGGGCTGCCTCAATCGCATGGGAGAAATGCCAAGCATCTTTAAGACCAACAAAGTTTTGTTCAAGGAATGAGGAGGAGGAGGAGGAGGAGATTGGATTTATACCCCGCCCTTCACTACCCAAAGGTGTTTCAGAGCGGCTTACAAACTCCTTTCCCTTCCCCTCCCCACAACAGACACCCTGTGAGGTGGGTGGGGCTGAGAGAACTCTGACAAAAACTGCTCTTTTTCAAGGACAGCTGTGCCAGAGCTTGTGACTGACCCAAGGTCACATCAGCAGGTGCAAGTGGAGGAGTGGGGAATCAAACCCGGTTCTCCCAGATTAGAGTCCGCGCACTTAACCACTACACCAAACTGGTTTTTGTGTGCCTTGCTATAATGTTTGTGTGTGTTTTGTTGGGCTCTTTTTGCCAGGGCTCTCCTGGGTGCAACTGGCTTCCTTCCCCCATTTCACTGTATTCATGCCCTCATGCTCCAGTCTTTCTCAGTAAGAAAGTAATGGGAACTATTTTAGAGGAGGAATAACAACAAACCAGTGAGGTGGATTTGGCTGAGAATGTGTGTTCAGACCAAGTTCACCCAGCACATTTTCTTTGTAGGAAGTTGTAGTTATTTCTGTGGGGAAGACCTAGACATTAATATTGTACCCACAAACAGACCAGCACTGTTTCAGTGAAGCTGATTAAAGAATATGTCTTTGGCATGTTTGAAATTCTCCCAAACCTCTCTGGGCATGTCAGGAAGTTAGCTTAGAATGTCAACTGGAAAAACGTTTGTCTAGAGCTACTTCAGGGTATGAACAGAGAGCTGAACATCTGAAGAATATTAAGACTAGCATTATTTTGAAAGATGGAACAAAATTCAAATTCTTGAAACCAAGCAAGTTCAGTTTGCAATTGCAAACAATGGCTATGAAATTGGATTGAACTCTGATCTATTCAGAGTTATCCCTTTACAAACGTGACAGTTATCCCACCTAGCACATACTGCAAACTTCCCTTTTTCTACATATTTTTCTTCATACAAAAAATATGTTTTTTAAAGCCCCCCAAAGGGGAATTTTTTATTTGTATTTCTATAAAACTACAACAGAAATTGGGAAGGGAAAATTCTACAATCTAAAGGAAAAAGTAAAAAGAACCTAACTAAAAACCCAAGTGTGGAGGTTGTACAATGCTTAAAACATAGTTATTACACTTACTCAGTTACTTTCAAGCATGAAGAGTGCCCGCCAAACATCACTTCTGTTGACAAAACCAGTTTATCATACTAGACAGAATGTAATTCTAAAGCTAGAACATGCATAAACACATCCCTTAAGAAAAATTGGCATCTCCTTTTATGCTTTGCTCCCCCCCCCATAGGCAAAATCTTTAAAACCAGTGTTCCTTCAGTAAGAACATTACAACAATTTTCTTCTTCCGTCTTAGATGTATCTTCTTTTTCCGATTAACTTTTAGCTTTTATAAGTCCGGATCTGTTCATTCATGATATAAACAAAGTTCCTTTTTCCAGGGACATCTTTGTTTCCTTTAACGTCTTGAATCAAAAGAGTCCTTCCTTTTGTTGCATTAAAAACACGCTGATTGGAGAATCCAACCTTTCTCTTAGCAAGCAGATCTTGTGAAGTTGGGGTAGCGAGCCCTTTACTCCAAAAAAACCCCGCTTTTCGATCCGCTTGCCAATCAAACCGCAAGTAAACTAAACGTTAGAATCTCCTTACCATTCATAAGTCTCTATGATCAAAGCATGCACCAAATACTGTCCCTTTAAAAATATAGCCGCTTTTTTAGTACAGATCCAGGTCGCTACTCCACTTTAGCCACCAGAGGGCCCGCGATTCACTTTAAGGACAGAATCTACGGTTAGGTCACATGACCTAGCTTTCCACTGTTCTCCTTCCTGAAGAAAACATTGATCCCGCCTCCCTCTTCGCCTCTCATCACCATCTTTTGGGGATATTTACATTAGCCGAGAAAGAATGCCAAAGTCTCTAAGGTCTGTTTAAACGCTCAACTTTCTTTCAGAAAAAACTCTCTGCTACCGTCCATCGCCACAATTTGATCAGTCCCTCCAATCATGCTTTTGCATTCACTTAAAATGTCAGGAGATAGGGCGTCCCCTCCCCCCCTCCGTTTATAGTAGGGGGACTTCACATCTAGGCTTTGGTGTCTCGTTTCAACGAAAACTCACTCATCAGTCCTTGAATCGATCCACCAGGTCCTGAGACGGCCCCTGGGATCACGCGAGGCAGAGAGAATTGCTAAACCTCCAAGCGCTTGTCCAGTGGTCGCTTCGAATCCAATACTGGGAATCAGGGCAGGACCTTCGGGGCAGAGAGTAGCCCCCCTGTACCGGCTGACGGCCGGAGGTAGGGCTCTCCAAAGCCCCCTGGCTAGGAGCCCATTGCTTATGGGCTCCGTGGGGGAGCGTGCACAGTCACGCTCCCTCCTAATCCCCGATTCATGGCACACGTCTCTCGGAGGAGCCAAGAGACGCAGCCATCGTTGAAGCGCCGAAGACCGGAAGTCCCATACAATGAGTATCTTAAACCACATGCACTGTGTTTATCCCAACCTAAACAATCTTAAACCACATGCACTGTGTTTATCCCAACCTAAACACAATGGAATTATAACAGATGCTCCAGAGTGCTTTCACTTCCCATGCACATTTATTCGGATCGCAAGTACCCCATACACATTCACACCATGAACATCTAATTCAACACAGTCCCAGGAGCTCCTCTTCACCCTGCCACATCTACATTGCAAGTATCCTTCCTCCTACATTCTGGGTTTCTTTCCCTCATACCAAAAATGGATCACCATATTCTCATTCTCTCTCACTCTGGATCAAAATAGAGGAACTGTGACTGCTTTATTTGAATGTAGTTTTGTGTGTCTGTGTGTGTGAACTGGATCAGGGCAGCAATGCTGGGAGGATGTTAACCATTCCGCCCATGTTGCTTCATCAATCTAAACTGCTCCTTCTTGAAACAGGTATTTACCATGCCTGTGTGAGAGCTGAATTTAGATCAGGAAAACTGAAGGGAAGGGATTCAAACTCCCCTCCACTGACCCAGCTGGATCCCCTCCACCCATAGCTATTTCCAAATAAAAACAGAAACACTAGGAGATCTGGGGAAATAGAAACACTGAGAGATCTGAGGTCCAGTATCTGACATGACATCTGTAAATACACATATGTTGGACCCTCTTCCAGCTAACCTAACTGCTGTGGCTAATTTTGATTCCCCATGCAATGCTCAGAAACAGCTTGCCTGGTCCTGTGCTGCCATTGTGTTAATTTATTTCATCACCTCCATAAGAATTCAGCCTTATTGGCTTCCTGGAGCTGCACAGTTTTTTCGCTTAGCAGGTGGTCTAGGCTGCTGTTTGGCGGCTGCCACAAATATGCATTACTGTTGGCTTCCTGGTTCAGGTTAACAGCTTAAAATGTAGTGCACATTGATTGTGCTCCGTGCACTCCTACTACTTCTCTTCCTGCATTTTAGATTTTACATGCCCAATATTCACAAATCTCTTGTGGTCTCCACTGCAGACTAGCATCTATATATGATTTAAAACAAGACATCATCGAAAATAACTACTTCTATGGCATGCAAAAATCTTAGCTTTCTTCTGCTTCTTTGATTTATCCAAAATCATTTTTCTAGGTCTAGTTCCAGTTGTGTGAATAAAATACTTTTTTGTATAAGGTTGTATCTCATCATCAACTAATCTTATGATAAAAATCTCTAATCTGTCTCTTTGCTTCATTCTTATAATTTAAACATTTGAAGAATGGTTATTTAAAGAAAATAATGTTCAGTCACATTGGAGACCTTAAGCATTCTTATTAAGTTTTTCTCATTTTCTGACAATAATAGGTTGTTGTCACAAGTAATAGCTATATTATACAAATACTGAAAATGAAAGCACTTTTCCCAATATGAAAGATTTAGCCTCCTTTCAACTCAATCAAAAATAAGTATTTATTAGAAAAATGCAGCAATTGTGTGATGGTGCCATATTTCTGATTTGAACAAGATAAGCAACAGAAGACTCATCTGGACTTTAAAGCATAATACTGTTTTTGTCTTTTTGAACATATTTTATTTGTTTATGGCAATTAGTTAAGAATTAAACAATTTAGAAACAATATCATTTAGAAACAGTAAAATCAACTTTAATATCAGATATTTCCTATGATTTTTAAATTAAAAATGCAGAGAGTGTATAGGCAATGGATATATGGAAGAAGTTAATCCTTTAGTTTTTTGAATGAATGTTAGTACATAAAATATATTATGTTCTCCTTCCTCATCGTACTGAACATGATAGAAATATTAGAATTCTTGCCTTTTTATTGTATAATGGTAACATGTATTGAAGTTTATTTTACTAAATGATGAAAACAGCTGTTATTCAGAAAGTAAGAACATAACAGAAGCCAGTGTTGGATCAGGCCAGCGGCCCATTTAATCCAACACTGTCACACAGTGGCCAAAAATACCAGGTGCCATCAAGAGATGTACCAGTGAGGCCAGGACACTAGAAGCCCTCCTACTGTTTTACAGATCAAATACTCTCACAGAAATAATTTGGATATGAAGTCTTGCATTCATTTGGCTTTGATATCATTTATTGTAATTTTTATTGGGAATGGTCATTAGTACTATGATCCAATACACCCAGCACCTCATTTAATAATGTTATTTATAGCCCTTTCCTCATCCTATTGGCTCTGGAATATTTAGATGGAAGTAATGTATTTGGCCCTGCCTCATGATAGTGGAAGCAATAACACGGAGGCTGTGCCAGTATCGGAGCTGGATAGGAGTAGCTACATATGCTACATTGTAGTTACTCATACTTGGGTTGCTACTGCCAGACGTATTCAGTGGCTCTGCATTGCCAAAGATATGTCTTGTAGCCCTTGAGTGCAGCTGTGTAGACCAATAGCCATGTTCTTGCCTTATGTATGTAAGATAGGATTGTACCAGATAAAATGAACCTTAAAACCCATTTTTAACTAAATTGTATTTAGTTGTATTCCAACGTGGAAACAGTTGGAAAGGAAAAAGGGACAGTAAGGGAGATCAACTGTAGGAAATGTTATCTGAGCATAAATACTTTCACATTTTTAACAAGCTAAAGTCTACATTAAATTCAGTCTACTGTTTTGCCAGCAGCCAAAATAAAGAACACAAGATGGCATAATATAAGGATTCCCTAGGCCCGTAAATAAATGAACCAGATTCTCATTTTCTGGAACGCTACTGGAAGCTTACAAAATGAGATTACAGAAATTGCTGCAAATGCTGATGAGTTGTTGAAGTATCATCTACAAAAGGAAATTAGAATATGACAAATAATACTTCAGAAGAAATAATACCACAGACATCTCTTGGTGTAGAAAATGGCAGTCTCTCAGGATCTTTATGTTTATGGAAATGGATAAAGGTTTTTCTCCATTTTATCCCATTTATCCTCCCCATCCCTTTGCTGGCTTTTCTCTCATTTTCCCTTTATGTACATTTTTCCAAGTAGGATACTCTGAAGGTCAAAAACGTAAGAAAAAATTAAAAAGCAAACTACAAATAAACATTTGTCTAAATTCCTAACTAAATTACGTTGTAATTTTAAAGCATTTATAAGAGAGATATTTTCCCAAATAAGTATTTTTCACTTCTTGTAATAATGTTTTTTTTTCTATAAGGCCTCACAAGACAGAACTATATCACGATATCCCACCAACATGCTGGCCTATTGTGTATTCTCCAGATTACAACATTACATTTATGGGCCTGGAAAAACTACATCCATTTGATGCTGGGAAATGGGGAAAAGTAATAAATTTCTTGAAAGGTAAAGTAAGAACAAGGCTGGGTGCCTTCGCTTTTGCAGAAATTGTACTATTTTGATTTGCAAGGAATATTTTTATATGCATGTTATTTTTAGTCATATGGACATGATTCTTGTTCTGATTATACGTTGGTTGAACAATTTGTATGCATTTCTGCTTTATGTACAATACACTTTCCTGTTATAGTATAAACAATGGTTGCGTTCAGACTGGCAGTTTGGTCCGATATAGGCACATTTCACAAACGGATTAAATGGGCCCGGTCACGCAGCCACATCTGTCAGGCATTCCCCGGGCATACTCACCTTGTCAGAGGACGACTTGGAGCCGGGTTAAAAAGCCACCACCTCCAAAGTGGTGTTTTGGTTTCCCTGCTCATTCATTGCGCATGGCCAGATGTCTGAACATGGGGAAGCGTGCGTAGAACGGATTTGGCAGTATGAACCTGCAGATCCCTTCTGCTGCTAGGGAGGCGTCTTTTTAAAAAAATTGCTTATATGTGCATTTGCATGCGCATGTGCTCCTATGCGCACACATGACTTTTGGAATTTTTTTGGAAGTGCGGTCCGTGGCTGAAGCGCTGCAATAATGTGGATGCTTTACCACGGGATGTCTCCATGGGTAACCCACAGCAGGGCGTGCTGTGTATTTGATATGCCCCACAGCACTTTAAACCAGTTCAGTTAGAGGCGGCACCAGGGCTATTTTTGGGCAGGAACGCACAGGAACGGAGTTCCGGCTGGCTCCCAAGTTGGCCACGCCCAGCAGGAACTCATTAGCATAATAAGCCATACCCAACAGCAGAAACTCATTAGGATTGGCTACATTAGGGGTATGTGGCCTAACATGCAAATGAGTTCCTGTTACAAAAAAGGGCCTGGGTTTTGACAACAAACAAGGTAAACAGAATAACAAGCAAAAGGTGGGTGTGGCTGGATGATCACACTTCTGGTAACATGGGGGTGCGGCCTAATGTTTTAATGAGCGGTGCTGTCAGGGGTGTGGCCTAATATACTAATGAGTTTCTGCTGTTGGGTGTGGCCTATTATGCTAATGAGTTCCTGCTGGGCTTTTTCTACAAAAAGAGCCCTGGGCGGCACCATATCGCACCAAGCCGCCAGTGTGGACACGGCCAATATTATGCATTTATGTATCAAATGCATGCATATCTGTTTAAGACAATGACTTTTTCAGTGTATATGACTTATAGGCAACTGCTAGCTTAAATCTGGCCAGTTGGCTCACTGCTCACCTTTTGAGCAAGGGGCTTGAGCAGGTGGTAGTGATTCAGCTTCAGGTGGTTTTGGAGAAGACAGATTATCTAGGCTTGTTTCAATCTGAATTCACGCCTGGGTTTGGGATGGAAACAGCTTTGGTCACCCTGATGGGTGATCTTCGCTGGGAGAGTGACAGGAGCGTGCATCAATTCTCTTGGACCTCTCTGCGTTGTTTGATGCTATCAACCATGGTATCCTTTTGGAGAGATGACTGAGTGGGGAGTGTTGTGTTTTGGTGGTTCTGTTCTTACTTGACTGTCCAATTTCAGAAGGTGGTGCTGGGGGACAGCTGCTTGACCTTGTGGCATTTATGCATGTCGTCCTGCAGGTCCATCTTGTTTAATGCTGTTTAATATCTATGTAAAACCTCTGGGAAAGATCAGTGAGGTGCCGCCAATATATGACACTCAGCTCTACTTCTTTTTAACATCTTGGTCAGGTGGGTCTGTGGAAGTCTTTAACAGGTGCCTGGAAATGGTAATGGGATGGATGAGTGCCAATTAACTGCAATTTAATCCAGTCAAGACTGAGGTGCTGTTGATCAGTGACCAAAGCTGTTTGGGCTTGCACTCCCTCAAAGAAACAGGCTTGTCGTTTGGAGGTACTGCTAGTTTCTGGCCTACGCTTGGAGACCTAGCTCTCCTCTGTGGCACATAGTACCTTTTACTAGCTTTTATTATGGTCATCTCTTGAAAAGCATTATTGTTAATTTACTGTATATGGGACTGCCTTTGGCAATGGTCTGGAAACTTCTGCTTACAGACTTTTAATTAAAGGCTTTAACACCATTTTAGTGTACTTTTAGTTGAAAACTGTTATTTTAAGCAGCTCAGTGGTCTGTGTTTTTATAGGTGGGCCTGTAATGCTGGATTTTAATTAATAACTTGTAATGCTTTGCTTTTATTATGTTTTATTTTGTAAGCATCCTTGGACAGATGCCATGGAGACTGATTTATAATTTGTGTGTGTGTGCATGCGCATTTGTGTGCGCGCACATGTTAATTTTATATAGTTTCCCATGATATAGCATCTGTCCCTGTGAGGACAGATGCTATATCATGTCATTTTGGGGTGTTCAGTTTAAGTTAGCTATAAGTACAGGAAATAAGTGGGAGTTAATAAGGTTGCTATTGAATTTAGTTACATGTCACAGCTGTATAATCTCTGTTGTTCAGATCTGTTTTTTTATCCAAATAATTGTGAGTACCAAACTAACACAAATTAAAATTGTTCTAGCTCAGAGTTAATGGTATTTTATTATACAGGTGGTGGTGGCGGCTATAAGTATGGACAGCTTCAAGAGGGAATTAGATACATATGGAGCAGAGGTCCATCAGTGTCTATTAGCCACAAGGATAGGAACTCTCAGTCTGGGGCAAGTGATGCACAGTATTCTTGATGCTTGGGGAGGAGCAACAGTGGGAGGGCTTCTAGTCTTCTGGCCCCACTGGTGGACCTCCTGATGGCACCTGGTGTTTGTGGCCACTGTGTGACAGAGTGTTGGACTGGATGTGCCATTGGCCTGATCCAACATTGGCTTCTCTTATGTATTAGTGCTAATTTTTTATACTGATGTATATTTCTAAAAAGAATTAGAAGTGATATTTGACTATCATTTTATTTATTTATTTAGCGAATTTATATGCCACTCTTACATGATAGGTGTCCCCAAAGAACTCACAAAATATAAAAGGATATTAAAAACTACAGCTGTAAAATCATAGTAGGCCAATAACATTTCAAAACCAGGGATGAAAGGCTTATTTAAAGGCCAGCTGGAGCAGATGGGTCTTCAATAGGTATTCAGGGCTTCCATTGGGGAGGAAACTCCTGTGTCAGGGAGTGATAGTTTGATGGTGTTTGCCTGGGTCCCACGAAATGAACTAAATTACTATGGGTTTCCTTAGCAAATGCTTATTGGACTGGCGAGAACATATGGACAGAGGTGGGCTTTCAGATACATTGAACAGATAGCGGTAAGAGCTTTTAAAGTTAAAACCAATACTTTGAATTGAGCTTAGAGACAAAGTGGAATCCAGTATAGTTCGTAGAGCTTTGTTTTGCCATGTTTGTGATAGCAAGTTATAAGTGGCATTCAAGTTGTCACATTTGGCATCATCTGCAGTTTGTAAACTATTTTTAACTATTTTCATAGACAGTATTACAGTAGTCCGTCTGGTTGTCATAATTAACATAGCAATAGGTAACAATGGCTTTCCACCACTACTGACTGATTTAGGTTGAAAGATAATGTGAAATAAATGCATATGGTATCCCATAGCTGGTATGTTATAGCAAAATACTTCTATTCCTGATTGAACAATATTGATCTAGTGAACTACAGTTCATTTTGTTTATGATGGGCATCATTAAACATGTGTTGCAATACTAGATTAAAAAGTGTTTTAAATACTTACCCTGATGGTATTTGGTAATTTGGTCTAATGAAACTTACAAACTGAAATTGCTCCGTGCATCTACTTTATAGAAATTGATACTAAATCTTAAATCTGGTTACATGCTATGATGCTGTTGATGCACCATCTTTCTGCTACTTAGGCATGGAGGCTTGGGGCTTGTTCAGAAGCTGAAGGTCCGCTCTCCAGTCATGCAGTGCTATTATTCCTCAAATGTAATGCACATTTTTGTTTCTGGATGTGATAGGCATGGTGGCTGTTCCATATTATCATAGTGCTACACTGTGGAAAAAAGACAGTACAATTCTGGGACTTGGATTTTGTCCAAAGTTACTGGACCCATCTCCAATCCAGTGGTTTCTTTTCTCAACATTTTTTTTTTTGGGGGTGCTACCTTGCAGTGCAACAAAGCATTAGGATTGCAGTAGTTTGTATCCCTCAGTGTAAGGGTCTTAATTAAATAAAATACATTTGGCATAAATCTAGGAAATCAAAAGAAGGAGGGAAAGGTGGAAATAAAGCAGATGGTTTCATAGAAGGTAGTATTATGCAGTCACAAGCAATAGGGAAGAAACAACAGGGCTCCAGACATGCCCTTGTAGCAAACGAAACCCCATCTGTACTTTGTTTTTAATCATGTCATGTACGGATGGTGCGTCAACAGAAGCAAGAAGTATCCATGGCAATGTTTTACATTGGCTTCAAAACAAATCACTTCCATTCCACCATGAAAGTCTTTTTGAGTGAAAAAGTGTTTAGTTCAGTACTGATTTCTGTTAACTAGATTAGGAGGACAGAAAAATGCAGTTCAAAAGTAAATCCTTTCTAGCCTTAATAAATCTGCTTGAGTAAACTTTGCTTGATTACCTCCTGGGAAGAAAGTGGTCACATGACCAATACTGCACTCTAAAAGGAAACAATTTCAGTAGTCCTGAATGTATAAGAAACCTCTAGTTCTCATTGCTAGTGGAGTGTTTTTTGTTACATGCATCTTGAGGAAAGGCATCTGTTCTGCAGTTCTTTCTTCTTCCTTGGAGAGTGTGAAAAGCATATGTTTTCTTTATTCTACAATGTAATTACAGTAGTATCATCAGATAGGTTCTGTATCTGTTTCTAGAACACAGACCCAAATACGTTTGCCAGGGCAGTGGGAGGGAGGCCAGGCGGGGGTGGGGGTGGCCGTCAGTGTTTTCCCCAGCCTTTTCTGGGAATGGCTGAAAACTCTGGCAATTCCTAAAGAAATACGATGTCACTTTGGAGTTTCCCTGGAAGTGACATCTTGCTATTGCTAATGGTAACTTAAAAAAATTCTTTCTCCAGTCAGCTACTGGTGTTCTGGCAGCCAAATCCAGTAGGCACATGGCAACCCTAGCCCCAAATCTGTTTCTCTGCTTCTGCCTCTGCTTCATCTTAGCCTCTGGAAGTTTCCAGCCTTCTATAGGAAAGATCACTAAGTTCTACATGAAAAAGGTTTTTTAAGCAGGTTTTGAATATTGATACAGTTAAGTTTGTGCTAATACATACCCGTTACTAGTTTTCCATGTGTATGAACATATCTGTTAATTTATTTGTAGAGTTAAAGCCAGATTTGAACAATTTTTTAGCATCCCACACATAATAAGAGAAATTAATGAACTGTGAAAGCCTTTATGTACATAAACATTTGTGGATTTCCTCACTCCATCCCACCACCACCACCACCCAAAAAACCCAGATATACCAGACAAAAAGAAAAAGTGTTGTGGGTTCGACGCATGAAGAAACTGGACACGGTGTGATTGTCAGCTCATTGTTTACTCGTACACAACAGAACATGACATAACTGGCCAACCGGCCAACTATATACAATCCCCGGGTGCCACCCACAGGTCCAATTGGCGGATTTGAATTTCCCGCCACAGTTCCTATTGGTACTAACTAGGAGTCTCAGGATCCTAGTCCCCATTGTCCTCTTGGAGCCAAGCTCCGGTTGCATACCGCTGGCGCCTAGAGGCAGTCAACGGACATAACAAAAAGTCTGAGGTAAACATAGATAAAAAGTTTTTGAGTGAAGTTTGTATCTGGTTGTACCTTTAGCCTTCTGGGAGGAAAACATTAGCCTTCAACTGAAAATATAAAAACCAGTTAATCAAAATCTGTCTGTTATCAGATAGAACACACAGGTCCCTTAAAAGGCTGAGAACAGATGGGAAATGGGGGAAACTTGGTAGCCATACTAACAGAACTGAAAAGTAATTGCAGACACGTGCAGAAACAGTAGTCGTGAGAATGAATAGTGTGGTGTCCTCTTATTTGGGAGGACTGGTTTTCTCTTTATATGTGTTCTTTGCTTTTGTAAACTGGGTATTTTCTGCTGCCACTAGGAATGTAAGGACTTCCAAACCTTCTCTCCTTTGCTATTGGTAATGTGACCCAGAGTCTGGGCTTTTCAGGGATCTATGTGGTCCTGAGGAAAGATAGAGCTGAATTCTGGGATTTTTGTTGTTCAGTCGCACAGTCGAGTCCGACTCTTTGCGACCCCATGGACCAGCTCCATCAGGGTCTTTTCCAGTGTGTGCTCCCGTCTCATTTGGTGGCCAAAGTATTTGAGCTTCAGTTTCATTATCTGGCCTTCCAGGGAACAGTCAGGGTTGATTTCTTTGAGGATTGACTGATTTGTTCTTCTTGCAGTCCAAGGGACTCTCAAGAGTCTCCTCCAGCACCATAGTTCAAAAGAATCTATTATTCGGTGCTCGGCCTTCCTTATAAGAACAAAATATGAAGTTGGTTATTCTGTATCTGTTTGGGAATAAGGGACTTGTAAATATATTTGTCAAATATATCACACACACTGTTCTTTTGACATTAAGATCCCACTCTGACAGGAACCTTCCACATAGGCAGCCACACAGGCTAAGCTTTTGGTAATTTTAACTTCCTTCCAGATCTTTAGAGTCTCACTTTTTAAGACATAATACTGCACTCTTTTAGATGCCACACAGACTATCAGAACTCTCACTGACTGAACTCTCTAACTGAACAATTCCAACAACTTTTTCTCTCATAACTGACACACTCACACACCCACACAGATTCACTTCAAAAACCCCTCCCACACTCTGTCATCCACCAATCACAGCACATTTCTCTCAATCACTCTAGTCTACTAACCATGCACTCCAACCAAGCATTTAAAGGCACACACACACTCATAAAACAAGGAATCATTACAAATAGAAACATTTGAATTTGTTTAGAGAAGAAAGAAACTTGAAAATGATCTGTGAGGCACTGTACTGATAAACTAACATTGAGTACAGATAGTAATTTGTCATACTGACTCCAAGGGAGTACATGAGAGATGCCATTTTTACATGTTTTTCTGACTCTGACCAGTCATGTTTTCCAGTGTACTGAGTAAATGTTCAAAAATCTGCAAACTTGTTTGGTAAAAACAGACCACGCTGCAACAAACAAAATTAAAATTAATTTTTGTTTGGGTTAATAACACTTTTTTATTTTACCAATAACGCTTTTATGATACTGCCTTCCTGTTTCTGAAAAAAATTATCATAAGTATCCAAATTAAGTTTTGGGTAAGGTACTTGTTGATAGAAAGCGTCAGTAATAGCTGTTTCCAGGCTTCTGCAAATTAAATATCAACAGGGGGTTGACAATGTTAAATGTTCCAATTAATCCTAAATGTTATTATCACACCTCTCTAAGTAATTATTGTTCTTTGAGTTTTGGCATTTTCTGCGCTAATGATTTAGTGCCTAGCTGTGGATTTTGTAGTAAATCACAGTAAAGATCTGAGGTAAATAATTAATGGTGTGAGGGTAGAATCATCTATGTTTGGAATATGAAGGCCTGTTGACATTATTTTCTTTTGCTTCATATGTTTTCCTTTTTCATTATCATTTTAATATAAATTTTAAAACGAACATAAAATCTACTTAAATTTTAATCTTTGTGAATGTATTATATTATGATACACATATGAAGTGTCACGGCTATGTATTCAGTGTTTGTTTAAATCACTGCTTGTGTAGTAGATAGTCTCATGTGCTGGTATTTGTTGTGTTGAAAGGCAGATTACCTTTTCATGTTAGTGATTACCATTTGTTTTCTTTTTCCATTCAGAAGACAAACTCATTGCAGATGACGTGATTGTACAAGCTCGAGAAGCCACTGAACAAGACCTTTTAGTTGTCCACACAAGACGCTACTTGAATCGATTAAAGGTGTTGTATCTTCTACTGAGTTTAATACTGTTTTTAAAAATTCTTTCTTTCTCACACACACACACCAATTTAGGTGAGCGTAAGGAGAATGGCAGTGTCTAGAGCACAACTAATTTCTTCCCTAGGGCTTAAGAAGGCTGATTTTTCAAGTTTGAAGCCTAGTGCCAGGATTGTATTGAGGACTGGTGGGGAAGGGGGTAAGGAATAGAGTATTAAAGATAAAAATCTCCTACATACTATATTCTACTAGAAATGTTAAAAACCCAACCCTTTAAGCAATTGTTAGGTAATTTTAGAAGAACATTTGTTCAGGGATTACTCAGCTTGTCTGTTGAGAAGAGAGATTTTATACATCAAGAAACACAAGTAGCAGTAGAATACAAAACAACAGAAAGGCAAGAGTGTGCCCAAGGGTGAGACAGTCTTTTATTACAATGCTGCGTGCCATCTGTATTTGAAAGCATGAAACACGCATCTGATAGATATCTCCATATTCAAGCTGCACAGGGAACATACTCTGTTGAAATTTTATATAGGCAAATGAAATCAGTTGATTACTGTGGATTAGTGCAGAAAACAGTCCCTTTTAAATTAGAATTCGGATGTTTTTCACCTGTATTTTTAAGCAGAGAAAGGTTTCTTGGAAAGTTGTGCTGGTTTTGTAGATTGTAATTCAAAAGAATCTGCTCTGCTTATGTTATGTTTTCAGTCTGTTCTCTGAATCGTACTTACTGATCTACTTAAGTGCTGTTTTATTATATCTGGCTGCAGCATTTGCAGCCTTGGAAAAAGTCAGGAAGTCTAATCCTATCCTTAATATGGTGTTGGTGTGGCAGCAGTGGGGGGTGGGTTCAGGTAGACATTTTGTTGCAGAGGAACAAAAATGGTACATATTATACATGGATGGCACACATGCAGACATTCATCACGTGATTGTGTTGTCTGATGTTTTTTCTCTTCTACTTGAACCAATAATATAATTTAGGAATGTCATGATGTATGAAATGGCCCTGTTGCAGACACTCAGCTCATCAGCATTCAGCTATACAACAGTCAGATGTTATTTAGCTGAAATTGTGTAATTCTTGTCTATGTATGGTGGTTGAATAGGACTGGCTGATTCATAAATGTAAGACTGAAAATTGAATAGTTTTAAGAATGTCAGATAAAAGAAATGAATTATCTTCATTAGTTTATTCTTAGCATTTGAAATAAAAGTCTTTGGGACTGTATCAGGATTTTATCTCTCCTTATATATAATTGAATAGTGGGTGCCAAAGTTCTAATTCTAAAATGCACTCCCTTAGTGTATGGCTGATGGCACTGCTCCTCAGCATATATCGCCACCAATCAGAAGGCAAAGCCCGGGTCCCGCCCACACCACAACTGCTGCGACAACCTGGTCTTTTGCATATGGAAGCTGATTGGACTTCACTCCATTCCACACCTCAAACTCCCCCCCCCCCGCAAGGCAGTTGGAATGTCAGTTGCATATGGAATCTGCTGTATTCTGGTGGTGTGCAGGTCCCAGATTCATGTTTTAAAAGCAGACTGACACTGTTTGCCCAAAGCCAGAGCACTCTCCCAGAGCCTCTTTCTCGATCCCGTTGTATTTATTTCCACAACGGGCCTTATTTCTAGTTCTGTATAAATAAAGACTGGGCTTTTCTAGTATATACTTCAAAACTTGAGTAGGAACAACATTGAAGCAGTGTTGAACATAAGAAGAGCTCTGCTGGGTCAGAGCAGTGGTCCATCCTGTTTCACACAATGGCCAGTCAGTTGCCCTGTTACAGTCACAAAGTGATAAAAGTGCATTTGTGAGCCATATATTTCCAGATGGACAGTTTTGTTTTGTTTTAGTTTATGTGAATTAATTATAGCACTGACGTTTTCTATCCAGAAGATTTTTTTTTCACATGGAGATGAGATGCTCTTTTAATAAGAGCTCAAGTAAATACTGTGTTTCAGTTCAGAAAAAAATCAAGAACTTGGGTTTGACAAATCTCCAGGAAATTGAACTTAATGGAAAAATCTACATGGGTGTTAAGAGAAATAGACTTTGCATCTTTGTGAAATGCATAAATGCAGGATGTATATTGCAGTTGACAACATAAAAGGCTGTGAAAATTTTGTCTATAGTTTGCAGCAGAAAGCCATTATGCTATTATAGTTTTCTTTTAAAAATAAACTATTTCTAGGGACATGCGATTAACAAGATGATAGAAACTGAACATATTGTTCTGTCTGGGGTGTGCACAAAAAAAATCAGAATGTTTTGGATTCAGATATATTGGACCCCCAAAATTTTGGGACTACCCCCCAAAAAATCTGAATTCCAATACTGGTATGGTATTTGGATTCGTGTGTGGGTTTGTTTTTGTTTTTTAAATCCTTATTCCCCCCCCCCATGCGACCATTATAGTCAATGTGGAATCTATCTGGGGGTATTCAGGGGTCTGGGGGGGCATGTTTTGAAGTCGAGGCACCAAAATTTCAATGTAGTTTCTGGTGCCTCTCCTCAAAAGACCCCCCAAATTTAAAAAAGATTGAACCAGGGGTCCAATGCTATTGGGCCCCCAAAGAAGATGCCCCATTCTCCATTGTTTCTGATGGCTGGATAAAAACCAAAAAAGAAAGGGAACCAGCATACAAACTATATATAGTTTATCCTCAGCCAGTGGTTTTTTTTGCCTTGTTCCTATTCTTGTACGCTGGTTCCCTTTCTTTTTTGGTTTTTATGGTTCCCTTTCTTTTTTGGTTTTTATTCCCTTTCTTTTTTGGTTTTTATATATATATACACACACACACATACACCCCCCCCCCAAATATATAGAAAGAAGAATAAAGTCCCAAAAATTTCAATGTGTGTCATTCTAGTTGTATTGTGATATCATAGTCCAACTTGACGAGCATTCATCATGGAGTGGACTCATATTGTTGTTGTTGTTCAGTCGCACAGTCGAGTCCGACTCTTCGCGACCCCATGGATCATCTCCCGCCAGGCCCTCCTGTCTTCCGCCGTCCTCTGAAGTTGGCTCAATTTCATGTTCGTTGCATCGATGACACTGTCTAACCATCTCATCCTTTGCCGTCCCCGTCTTCTTTGACCTTCAATCTTTCCCAGCATCAGGGTCTTCTCCAGGGAGTGCTCCCTTCTCATTTGGTGGCCAAAGTATTTGAGCTTCAGTTTCATTATCTGGCCTTCCAGGGAACAGTCAGGGTTGATTTCTTTTAGGATTGACTGATTTGATCTTTTTGCAGTCCAAGGGACTCTCAAGAGTCTTCTCCAGCACCATAGTTCAAAAGAATCTATTCTTCGGCGCTCGGCCTTCCTTATAGTCCAACTCTCGCAGCCATACATGACTACTGGGAATACCATTGCTTTGACCATGCGGACTTTTGTTGGCAGGGTGATGTCTCTACTTTTTATCATGCTGTTTAGGTTCGCCATCGCTTTCCTCCCAAGGAGCAGGCGTCTTTTAATTTCATGGCTGCAGTCACAGTCTGCGGTGATCTGGGATCCCAGGAACGTGAAGTCTGTCACTACTTCCACGACTTCCCCTTCTATTTGCCAAGGAGTGATGGGGCCGGATGCCATGATCTTAGTTTTTTTGATGTTGAGCTTCAAGCCCACTTTTGCGCTCTCCTCTTTTACTCTGAGCAAGAGGCTCTTTAGATCCTCTTCACTTTCAGCCATTAGAGTGGTATCATCTGCATATCTGAGGTTGTTGATCTTTTCCCCAGCAATCTTAATTCCCGCTTGTGATTCATCCAGGCCAGCATTTCGCATGATGTACTCTGCATATATATTAAATAAGCAAGGTGACAATATACATCCTTGTCGTACTCCTTTTCCTATGCTGAACCAATCAGTTGTTCCATATCCGGTTCTAACTGTCGCTTCTTGGCCCTTATACAGGTTTCTCAAGAGACATGTGAGGTGGTCTGGCGAATGTTGGCAATTTGATCTCTCGTTCCTCTACCTCTTCGAAACCCAGCTTGTACTTCTGGCAGTTCTCTATCCATGTACTGTTGAAGCCTAGCTTGTAGGATCTTGAGCATGACCTTGCTAGCGTGTGATATGAGTGCAATTGTGCGATAGTTTGAACATTCCTTGGCATTGCCCTTCTTTGGGATTGGAATGTATACTGACCTTTTCCAATCCTGTGGCCACTGTTGCGTTTTCCAAATTTGCTGGCAAATGGAGTGCAGCACTTTAACAGCATCATCTTCTAAGACTTTGAATAGTCATATAGTTCCTGGATAATCCAAACATTCTAGAATTCCATAAGCCATAGAGACGTGTAGTCCAGATGCAAGCTGCCGCGTTTCGAATAGTTCTTTTTCAAAACCAATAGGCTATAGTGGGACCAAATACAAATTCAAGACATACACAAATGATGATAAACAATCATACATTATGTATAAATTGCATAGATGCATAATATAGAGCTGCGGGAAGACTCACCCCAGTCTCAGTAGAAGCACATACAAAAGCCAGTATATTCAATCAGAAAGGATCATGAGTCCTTATCCTACCATGTGTTGCACCATAATTTATATCTAGTGTCAGGCTGCAGCAGCACAGGTCAAGTAGTAAAAGGTCTTGCTACTCTAATTAAATCAGAAACAAGAAAGGCAGGCTGCAATTAGGACTAGGGCAATTAGGACCCGGGTGCTGAAGCACCAGTCAAGAGTGAATAATGCTGTTGAAAATTCACCACTGGTTGGGCATTACATGCAGGCAGGTCACAATGTGAATGAGATGAAGTTTATAATTCTATCCTGCCATAAAAAAAAAGCCCTTTCAAATGCAAAACATTGAACTGATCCTATTACAAAAGGAAACTAGATTTATTTATGAATCAAAGCATGGATTTTACATCCTATATTAATTAGCAATAAGTTTTCAAGGTACTGGACCTGTGCAATTGCAACCTGATATTCTTCCCTAAATATATTTACTTTAGCAGCTAGGTTCTAATTGTTTGACCTGT